GTTGAATAACCTTGACATATTACGTCTATTTTTATTTTAATCCTCTCAAATACACGGATCAATTTCTTAGTGCTGTTATGAAACTAATTAAGAATGACGCCGTAGTTTTGGTTATCGCTTTTATTTACTCAAGTATTTTCAGTCTCATTCAAGAACATTAATTTTTTTTGTCTTAGCAATTCAACCCTGAAGATGATCTTGGATGAGATTGAAAATGCATGGGAAAATAAAAGAAATAACCAAAACTACGGCGTCTTTCTTAATAAGTTTAATCAAATTTATAAAATAAGCATGTTATAAGATCATTACAAAAGTTGCAATTTTCTTTCGACACTTCTAGTGTTTTATCAAGACCATTTGATAAGACAGCAAAAGTGTCGAAACAAAATTGCAACTTTTGTAGTGATTTTATAACATGCATATGCAAATTAGAATAAATATTATTAGCTCTACTCAGTGGTAAGCACTCTCTAAAGAATAGTGTTTTTGGTCATTGGAATTTTATTCCATGTGTACCACCTCTGTACTTGAATATATACTTTGCAAGTTTTTCTCGCTAGATCAATTACGACCGAGTAGTGAGTTCGATCCTGGGTGTTTCACACTTTCAATCAGGTGTCACATCTAAGCTACGCTTAAAACATCACTTGGTCACCTCAACGTGGTGTGATGTTATCAAGCATGTCTTGCTAATACCATTACAACTGACTAGTGAGTTCGATCCTCACCGGATGTCCCATACTTTCGGCCTTATGCCACATCCAAGCTACGCTTAGAAAATCCCCATACATGATTTCGGAGATGGGCGTGAAATACACCCAATCCGCAGTACTTAAACTTTATATCTATGCCTATATATTCGTAGGCGATAACATATTTTTGCAGTCGTTTACGTACATCTATAAGCATAGACATTATCTTTTCTCGTTTTGTACATTCTCTGTTTGTGCATATATATACGCATGCGCACAAATGCCTCTGAACTTTAAGAAAACACTACTGAACGCTCCCGGCGAAAAAAAAATATAACCATTCTATTATTTTTTCATCATTATTCTACAACTTCAACAACCTTCCGGTCTGAGTTTAACCGACCAACTGAAGAGATGGAATTGCCAAACTTACTAAGTGTTTGGAATAATCATGTCCAGTCGAAGACATGGGGTCACAAACCCTATTTCATTCTATCAGCACCAAAAATGTATTACCGTGTTTTGTATTTTATTATTCGTTTGTTTTATGGCATTTTTCTTATGGCTGTTTTTTTTTTTCTTTTTCTTTGATTTCATTTTTACATGACAAATAATATAGAAATATTACTTTATCGGCCATTCCATCAAGAGCGAACAGACATTGTTTTAACCATGTACGACGCTTTCAACTCAATGTCTCCCAATGACTACAGATTCATCTTAAGTGACAGTACTGTAACAGTACCAAAGGCGCCGTCAACAATAATATTGGGTTAAGTCATAAATAATTTCCGTTTACATTTATCGAATTTATTCCGCAAAAACTAAAGTACAATTACATTGTATTCAAATATACATTGCAATGACTTATTTTCAAATATATATTAACTTGTATTCAAAATTATATTGCAATGATTGTTTTCAGTTATATACTGACTTGATTTCAAATATATACAGAATTGTACTCAGATATATATTGAAATGACTTGTTTTTACATATATATTGACTTGTTTTGAAATATATATTGATTTTTTATCCAAATATATATGCCAATGACTTGTTTTCAAATATGTGTTGACTGGTATTTAAAAATATATTGCAATGACTTGTTTTCAAATGCAGATTGACTTGTATTCAAATATTAATTCTAATGTCTTATTTTCAAATATATATTGACTTCTGTTCAAATATATATTGACTTGTAGTCAAATATTTATCGAAATTGCTTGTCTTCAAATATATATTAACATCTATTCAAATACATATGGACTTTATTTAAATTATTCGGACTATTGTCCTCATCTTTTTCGCCATATTTAACGTTCTACGCTCCGGCCTTCTTCAGGTGGTTGGAATGTCGAACTGAACCCTTTATTTCGTTCGGTGGGGTAGACTCCTCTAGTTCCACGTGCCGTGTCTAATGGATGTCAGTTATCTCCGTAAATTCCCCTCTCCAAGTTCTCCACCGCCTTAACCAGGTATTGAACTTACACTGTTTGGGTTCTCTCACTGGATCGAACGCCTTTATCAACTGTGCCACGTGTCCTCTCTGTGCAAATTTCTCGGTATTATAAACCTAATGTCTTCAGCAACCACTTTTTTACCAGTGCTCATATTGCAATTCTTGCTGTTATCAGTACATTTTTTTGCAATTTTCGTTGTTATTATCGCTTTTTTTCTCTGGCACTCCTTATTACTGGTTCCTATATTGTATCCATTTGTATGCTTGATCGGCTCAGGAGATTTTTGTGGCCTAGCATATGTGCTGATTCCTTAAGTTTACGAATTTTCCAATGATGTTCTTTGTCTATGAGTTCAACTTTATCACACAGAGGGCGGTGATCTCCCTTTTCTCTCCATATGTGGTCAGCCATGCCTGATTTTTCCACTTCCACTTGTGTTACAGCTTTCTGGTGTTCTTGAAGCTTTATCTTAAGGGGGCGGCCTGTCTATGAAGATGACTTTCCGACCAATGGGTCAATTATATCTACAAGGAAGCGACAGATACATATGGACTTATACTCAAATATATATTACAATGACTTGATTTCAAACATATAATATTGACATGATTTCAAATATATATTGACTTATTTTCCCTTATATATTTCAATGACTTCATTTCAAATATATATTGCAACGACTTGTTTTCAAATATATATTCTGTTGCATTCAACTATATAATGCAATGATTTGCTTTCAAATATATATTGAATCGTATTCAAATATATATTATCTCGTTTTCAAATATATATTGACATGTATTCAAATATATATTGCAATCACTTGTTTCCACATATATATTGACTTGTTTTGAAATATATATTGGCTTGTATTCAAATATATATTGCAACTACCTATTTTAAAATATATATTGAGCTCTATTCAAATATTGCAATGATTTATTTCCAAATATATATTGTAATGACTTGTTCTCATATATATATTGACTTTTATTTAAATATATATTGACTTATATTCAAATATATATTGCCATGACTTGTTTTCATATACATACTGACTTGACTTCAAATATAATATTGACTTGTATACAAATATATATTTCAATGGCTTGTTTTTGGATATATATTGACTTGCATTCAAATATATATTGCAATGATTTGTTTCCAAATATATATTGACTTGCATTCAAATATATATTGCAATGATTTGTTTTCAAATATATATTGACTTGCATTCAAATATATATCGCAATGATTTGTTTTCAAATATATTTTCAACTCCCTATTTTGAAATATATATTGAGCTCTATTCAAATATTTCAATGATTTGTTTTCAAATATATTTTATAATGACTTGTTCTCATATATATATATTGACTTTTATTCAAATATATATTGACATATTCAAATTTATATTGCAATGACTTGTTTTCAAATACATACTGACTTGACTTCAAATATCACATTGACTTGTATTCAAATATATATTGCAATAACTTGTTTCCCCTCATCAAGCATCTCTTCAATATCTTTTTAATAAAATTCCGCATGTTTTTATGTGAAACAGATTTTCAACAAAGTATTTAAATTTTTAGAGAATGCTTTCCCAATTAAAGCGTTTTTTTTTTACTGTGATCAAAACAGGTAATGATTGGTTGGTGCCAATTTTGGTAAATATGATAGGTGGTGTAGAACAGACTAAATGGGTGCCAATGATTTTACCCTGTTGATTCTTGCTGTATGTGGCCTGGTGTTGTCTTGGTGAAGAACAAAATTCTTTCTATTCACAATCACATGGCGCTTTTCGACCAAACCTTTACGGACACGTTGCAGCTGATGGACGTATAAATATGCCTTTAGTATTTCACAGCGTCTTAAGAACGCTAGCTGACATACACAGAACATCAGGTTTCTTCCATGGAGCTCAACTTTTGGTGTCGGTTGAGGAGATTTATCCTTGCAAATCAACTGCATTTTGGGGTGAACATTGTCGTATGTAAACTATTTTTCATCACCTGTTACGACATATTTAAGGGGCAGATTATTCTGCCGTGAAGGGGACTTGTCGCTATGTATGAACGATCTGCTTTTGTTCATTTCGTTAAGAATGTGGGACTCAGCCAGCTTATAGATTTTCCAAGTTTTGACATATGGCAGATTATGACTCTGACAACTTTTTATCGCTTGTCAAACGTATCATATATATATATATATATATATATATATATATATATATATATATATATATATATATGGAACAGAGCTTGGTACTTTAATTCAGTTTAATTCAAATAATTATATTGAAGTTTTCGGCTCTTGTTTTGAAACATGAGAACTCTTATGTAGCGATGGAATCATATTTTTAAATAGATAATTATATTTATGCTCTACTTTTGTATCGAGCACTATTTTTTAAAAATAATAACAAAAAATACTAAAGAACTTTGGATTATTTACCTAACGAGTTCTTTTCCTATATTCTATATATTTTTACCCCCCCATATATATATATATATATATATATATATATATATATATATATATATGTATATATATTATTGTCTATACGTTATTTATATAGACACAAGTATTTAAATAAATGCTCTGTTTATAATAAACAGTATTATCAACATTTACTGGCCTGAACGTCCGAGAAAATTTCTAACAGATAAAGAAAAAAACCTGAGACAACAGTGGTGCTACTGAAGGATGCTGAGAATATGTGAGCCACGATGAAGTTTAAGGGAAAAGGAAAACAAAAAGGACACCTATATTTAACATCGGAAAGAGACAGCTAAAATTTCTGGGATATATAATACGGAAAGTGGTTTTGGAAAATCCAAGCTTACAGCGCCTGGTATTCCCAAGTGGTCACTAATCTAGGTACTGAACAGGCTCTACGTTACTTAACTGCGGTGATCGTACGAGGACATATGTCCATAAGCCTGTCCTTTTAGAACGGAGTTACTTAATGCTATATTTTGTGATACAGATCAACCTCGTTCAAGTAGGCTAGGATAGTCCTTACTTTTATTTTCTTGAAAAGTTCCCTAGACTAGTCGTGTCATAATATCGTTTGGCGTAACCATATTATTTTTTTTTTTTTTTTGAAAATAGATCATATGGATATGTGATGTAAATTTTACCTGCCAGCTTTATCAACATGCTGAAGTTCAATATCATTTTATATTGAAAAGAGAATTACACGCTAAGCTTCTGGAAAAGAAGCATACTCCGTGCATTGAAAAATCATTTGAACCATTGGCACCCATTTAGTCTGTTCTACACCACCTATCATATTTACCAAAATTAACACCAACCAATCATATTTGCATTCACAACCAATTTTACGCTGCAGTTATGACACAACCTTGATTCTCTCACCCGTTTGTCCGCTGTTGTAATCACTGTCCCCGTGAACGAAATTCTTTTCCCCACCATTGCTTCAATCTACGTTAGACTGTCGTACAAAGTCTACGTTCTCACCCGATAAGCAAACAGTACCTCTCAACAAATTAACTTTCAATTATAATTTAATGGACCCAACACCTTTCAGATTGGTTATGTTAGCCACTTTTCTCTCGTCGTGGGGGTGAGTGACGAAAAGACTGGAGAAGAAGGAAGGGGAAGTACACCCACACATGCGTACACTTGAAAACCCCTCACCGGTTAATATCTGCTCAATCTGAACTGCTTTGTCATTAGAGGAAATCGATAGTCAGCAAATTTCCCGCCATGTCGTTAGTGTAAAGGAAGAGCAGACGACAGCAAATAACGGAAGCAAACAACGGAAAAAGAGGAAGTTAGAACGAAGAAAAGGGAAGAAGCGGGGATTATTGAAAGGGAAAAAAAAATAAAAGAGAATCAGAGATTGGGGGGGGGGCGTAGAAAAGGCGATAGGAAATATAGAGAGAATGAAGAGAGGGGCCGGAAGTGTACCTGCGCGGTGAAATTGAACAACGGTGTTGGGGAATGAACTGGCGCGGGGACGCCGTTCCCCAAAAGAAAACAGACAATTCGTTTAAACGATCGCAGGTTTCCACTCCCGCTAATATATTACCCGCCTTGAAACCTCTCTCTCTCTCTCTCTCTTTCTCTCTCTCTCTCTGTTTCAATGCGCGTGCGCGCGATTGTGTATACGTTAGTGTTTTCCGCTCTCAATCTGTTTTCCGTTACTTCTTTTTTCTTCTTCTTCTTCTTCTTCTTCTTCTTCTTCTTCTTCTTCTTTCAATAAATAGGTAGAGAAATATACAAATTGTGGACCTGTTTCGTGGCTGCAGTAGTTGCATATTTCCCTGCAAACGTCAGTGATCAGGCTTCAAATACTAATAACTCCTAATCTATTTGTTGAAAAATATTATTTTGTATAGAATATGTTTTTTTGCTCAAAACCATTATTAAACTAAAAATTTCGGAAATATATTTCATAGTAATACATACATACATACATATATATGTGCGTGTGCGTGTATATATATATATATGTATGCGTTGCTATTCGATTTGTTTCAACAGAATCCATATCATTCTGCTACTAAAACATAACATATCTAACTCTCTATCTAATTATATGAACACAAAAGGGATCTTTTATTAAACATCACACTAAACGCATTAGTTACTCACCGTAATGAGCCTGGCTATAATTTTCATTTAAAAAACGCTCAGTCAGTTATGTACCATGTGTGATACACGTTTAGGCGATAATGTATCTTTCGATACATGACTGACGAGGCAGATTACTCTACCGTGCTTACTCTAATTAAAAGAGAAAACAATTTATTAAAGATGTTAGTTTTTCAAAATTGTTAAATTTAATACACACTCATAAATGTTCAACAGGTTAACTGAAAAATCTACATAAATTATGGAGGATGCCAAGTGTAATTTAATAAACAAAAGTGAGTAAACGATGTTGATTTATAATGTAATTCATATTTATATTATTTTAACATGGGATTAATCTATGCATTATATATTTTAAATAAAAGGAGGTTATGAATTTAACTGTTCTCTTTTATTTATTTTTTTTAAACATTGTTATATTTATATGTGTTCGCTTGGGAAAGAAGTGATTATTTCAGGAAGGGAGATATTTGAAAATATCCGGGGATCAGATTTATATTGTGATAAGATTCGAGAGCGGTACTCATGGGATTTTTCAGTCTAAGTAAATTACTTTATCTTTTATGGCATTCATTAAATCAATTAAGTTGTGATTGAATTTATCTCTTGGTATGACTAATGCATTTCATAAAGTGTTATGTATAAGTGCCTTTTATCTTCATAGATACGTTTTTTTTCTTTAAATTTCTGCAAGTTTCCCCGGTGTATTTGGTGGAGCAGTTTTAGAGGACCGTGTGTTTACGTGTTCTTAAATTAGGAACACGTGCTGGTTATTCCTGTTAGAAGAAGGTCCAACTACAAGAACAATGCTGGCTCAAGTTGAGTCCAACCGAAGATGTAAAGAGATCAAACAAGACCGATATATATATATATATATATATATATATATATATATATATATATATATATATCAGCAAGTATATGTATTAAATAACGAACTTTACAATGGACAAAGACATTAACATTTGTGGTTGTGTGTGAACGTAAAGTGTTTGTATATTGGTGAAAGTTCGTACGTACGTGTATGTGTGTTTCATGGCGTTTTCCCCACAAGTGGACGAAACACAGATCTCTGCAAGAGATCACATTTTTAAATGTGTCCGCTGAAATGCAAAGTAGAAAGAGAACGAGAAAAGAAATCGCCCAGTATTTATAGTGTAGGGAGAGCGTGCCCTAGTGAAATATTTGGACAATTAAGGGTGAGTTAACTCCGACACATTATGACAGTTTATTTTATATATATATATATATATATATATATATATATATATATATATATGCTTCAGAATTATTGTTATTATTGGTTCTGATTATATCCATAATAGTTTGCGGTTGTATATTTTGTGTGCCTTTATCTCGCGCGCCTTTTCAGTTAGCCTGATGAATATTTATGAGCGTTTCTAAATAAATCTCTTGGTACTCGGGCTTTTGTCCTCGTCTTTGTTGTCATTATCAAAATGTTTCGATTGTTGCATCCTCCGGTTTTCATCATAAATGGTTTGTTTACGGCATATCGAACTCAATCTTTTATTTAATGCCGACAAGATTTTTAGGATAGTTTCGTATGAAGAGAATAATGTATTCTTTGTAAGAAATCAGTTTGTAGATCAGGTTTCATTGAAGTATTTTTGTAAAGAAGGCTTTCGTCGAGCGTCAAATGTATTGCTTGTATTTTTACTATAAACATCTATTTTTACACTTTCATAGTGTTTTGACACAAGTTTGGGGGTTATTTGCCCATAGTTGGGGTCCTAACAAGTGCTACCACCCTGGGTCAGGTTGGACCTGAGAACAACAGCAATTAAGAGGTTGTCCCACGCTCCTCAAAAATCTCCAGATCAGAGGCCTTGCTGCCAGGTGTAGTTTATCGTCATAAATGGTGATGAGGTGCTTGCTGATCTAAGTAACTATCAAATAATTTCGAAGTGAGACCATTGTTTAATATGCGGGGCTAGATCGTTCTCGTTCCGCTGATAGTGTCTAAGCACATCATGTTTAGTCCTTATTTGCACCGTCATCACGTCTAGCCATTATTTGCCACCGAATTCACGAACCAACACTTTAATCCACTAAGCCATGTGCCCTTTTATCCACTAGGCCAAAGTCTAGTGGGACAATTCTGAGTGTAGAATTTGGAGCCAGAAATTCAGACAGACATTTTATGATATTCTTAGATGATTTACTGTTATACGCAGATTTCACTGTCCGCGGGGATGGGGGAATATCTATCACGGGCAACAAGATCTTATTGTAGAAGGGGATGTTGAAACGCTCTCAATCAGACTTGTTTCCCCAAATCAGTATTGCATTGGTTGGTCATTCAAATATTGATGATTTAGGAAGTTGGTCAGGCCACTAGCTTTTCAGACCCCCTCTTATATATATATATATATATATATATATATATATATATATATATATATATATATATATATATATATATTATTCTGTTAGTGTAAACTGAACTGTTCAGAAAACACTAAGAACTCAGTTTTCTATGGAAATAGGGTTAAATAAATTTTGCATTTTTAAGTCTGAATATCGACAACATTAATTCATCTGCAGTCAACTATGTACTTCCTAAATCTTCAATACCCAAGTACTAATATATATATATATATATATATATATATATATATATATATATATATATATATGTGTGTGTGTGTGTGTGTGTGTGTGTGTGTCTGTGTGTTGTATGTCTTCCCTCTAATGAGGCTATTATGTACTCTTCCACTTACTATAAAATAGTAGGAAAGTAAGCCTCAGTGGGGATCGGTGATATAGACTGAACGCTGGTCAACCGACACAAACTCCCAAGTCGTGTAACACACCCTGTTGTATTTACTGTTCAATACACTATTTATCTGCAGCCTCTTTTTTTGTTATTTCTTAACCATATACTCGGTCACGACAATACACACACACACACACACACACACACACACACACATATATATATATATATATATATATATATATATATATATATACCAGGTGTAATAACAAAATTGTCCAAATCGTGTAACAATATAATTATCCATCACACGAAATGTTTAATATCTAAAAAAACACTAAACTAATTTTTTCCCGAGTTTTCAAGATAAAACGTTTAACCATCTTGATACCATTTATCGTAAGAATCACTGAAAAAAACCCTTTGAGTTATTCAGCTAGATAGAGAACAGTTTAAAATCATTTTCTGTCAGACCCACTGTCTTCTCAAATGACCAATGGTGAGAGGAAAAAGAACATTCAGGCTTCCAGTAATGGTACCAATATTCATACTCTGGCTTCCATCTTCAAAGTCCACTCAAGAACCATCAAGAGAACGGTGAATAAGTTTAAAAAAGACGGAACAGTAGAGAGTAAAATCGGATCAGGAGGTCAGAAAAGGAAGAGGGATCATCATTTCAATTTAGAGTTAAAGAGATCAATTAGAAAAGATCAAACACAAACCATAAAACGTTTAGCACGTAAGAGAGAAGTTTCAGCTATGACAGCCCAAAGAGCAGTGATAAAAGACAAAATTGTACGTTTAACCTGTGAGGCAACTTGTTACTCCAGGACAGAAAGTTAGAAGGTAAGACAGGGCGAAGATCATCTTGAATAAGTTGGAAAATGATCCTGGAACAATATATATATATATATATATATATATATATATATATATATATATATATGAACTTTATTTCAATACTTCATGAGCTTCCAATCCTTAGCTATGATTAATTAATGATGAACATGTCATTTTCGTTTATGATCGGTTTTATCACGATTCTTCTGTTAAGCTTAGAGAGTAATTATACATTCTTATTGCTCAAAGTAGAGTCCAATAGTGTTATAAAAACCTTGGAGAATTTCAGTAAGATATCGTTAATCATCTCGAAGATAGGACTCAAAGCTTAATCTAACATTTGGACAATTATGCTGTTACACGATTTGGACAATTTTGTTTTTGCACGTGATATATATATATATATATATATATATATATATATATATATATATATATATATATATATATATTGTTACGAACTTGTAGCATATAGATGAACCACGGGTTCTAAAAAAAAAGGAAAACGTGGTTTCTTTTCTCGGTCTTCACTCAGAAATGGAAGCGACACAAGTGAATCAACGAAGAACAGACACAAGACGATGGATTTCAAAATAAAACATTTATTTATAAATATATATAACGGAGTAAAGAAAAAAAAGAACATTCATTTAACAAAGGGGAGGACATCATTAAAGAATAGAAGGCGAGCGAATACATACATATATGAAAACAGATCAAGCCAAAAGAACCAACTTATCTTGCAGTCGGGTTGGTATCTTCACATAAAATTTTGATTCGCCGAAGCGAGAGTTCTGATGATAAAACAGTATCTTGGCCGGCCGACAATGTTCCTGGATTCTTCTTCTTTTCGCAAGTGTTCGAGGGTCCCCAGCATCTCATACAGGCATTTGGTTGGGTCGACCAGTTCCCTAGCAGTCCTTCCATCACTAGTCGACAGACTTTGCTGTCTTCCTCATCTCAGTGGGCGGTCTGACGATTTTTGCCCAGCGACGTTCAACTGCCGCTGGTCAGAGGGAAACTCAAAAATCCTTTTTTGGTTTTCGCTGTCCCCAACGACAGTCACGTGGGTTCCCTTCGTCCTTGACCGGGTACGCAGGAGGATAGGGCGCAAATCACGCTGTGCCTGTGTGATGGCCAAAAGTTCAACACATGCTCAGTACGTTCCGATCACGTGAATCACAGCAGGAGACCCTGATGGTGCCTGGAATTCACTCATGGTCAAACGCGAAATCTTGGAACCAGGTCATTCTCGCGTCGGGTCACTTCGAAGTTCACGGGCCCTTGGCTTGTGGGTGGAAGAGTAGAGAAAGAGAGAAATAATTTGGGAAAAGAAAAGAAGGATATGGCTGATCATAGAATATATTCGCTCGCGAGTCGGAAGCATTGGATTAAATTTCTGTTTTTATTTATTTATTTTTCTTTTATATCTAACTAATTTTCTCTTTATTTAAGATTTTACTTTAGCCTAACGCCTATATGGTTAATGAAATCGTGGCTACGTGACAATATATATATATATAAAGAAAGAACAGTAAGATATATAATCCGGTGTTCTTATAGATATTTTTATTTTTACAAAATAGTGCTCAATGTAAATTTTATTTATGGTTATTAGAAACTCAACTAACTTTAAAATAGATAGAATTAGAAAAGGTTCTATATAAAGAATTTAAAAGCATGGGTTGAAAAATTACGGTTAGCACTAAACAAAAAAAATTGAACTTCCTATATATAACATTAGATCTAAATAAAAATACATACACACCTTATAAAAAACCCAACACCAATCCTTTATATATACACCCTAAATCAAATCACCCCCCATCTATAATTAAACATATACCGTTATCTATCAGTAAACGAATTAGTACAAATTCAGCAAATGACAAGATTTTCGATGAGTATATCAATTCCTATAATAAGGCTCTAAAAGTGAGTGGCTACAAAAACCCAAAACTAACTTATATAAAAAATGAAAATGCAAAGCATAGAAAAAACAGATGTAGAAAAATAATTTGGTATACGCCCCCATACAACCAAATGGTAAAGAACAAATTAGGACAAACATTCCTCGCATTAATAGTCAAGCATTTTCCTAGTGAAAGTAAACTAAGTACTATTTTCATTAAAAACACACTAAAATTGAGTTACAGCTGTACGGAAAACTTAGAAAAAATTATTAAGAACCATAATGCTAATATCTTAAACAAACACTTATACCAAAATCAAAAAAAAAAAAAAAATTAGACAATGGAAGAATAAAAATAAAAACTGATGAAAATAAACAAAAATTATGTAACTGTAGAAACCATCATAATTGCCCTCTACAAAATAAATGTCGCACTGAATCATTAGTATACCAATGCAATATCTCTTCGATTGAGAGACCGGAAAACATAAAAATATATATACGTTGCACTAGCCATGAGTTCAAAAAAAGATTCAACCAAAATCAAACCTCATTTAGGATAAATAAATATAAAAATCAAACATCTCTATCGAAATACTTCTGGCACCTAAAAGAATCAAATAAAACACCTACAGTAAAATGGAAGTTAATAAGAACAGCTAGAATATGTAGGTCATTAAATGACACATGCCCCTTGTGCATACATGAGAAACTATATATTACGAAGTTTATAAAAAATGAAAATTTACTGAATCAGAGAAATGAAATAGCTATTTTATGCCGTCATTGTCAAAAATTTTCCTTAAATAATATTTAAAAATAAAAATAAGTTTATAAAAGTGCGATCAGGTAATATACATACTTATATTTAACATGAAAAATTAATTTTATATACTGTAAGTAATTCTATTACATTTACTTGTTTTTTCATTAATAAAAAAATAGTCTATTAAAATAACAGTGAAAATATTTTAAAGTTGTATTTAAAATTGTAGTTAATACGAATTCTAACTTAAACATCTTTTAAAATTTTAGTTAAATAAAACGTATTCTAACCTAAACACATCTCAAAAAGTAATACCGACACTCAAATGTATCCAATAAAACACCTACCGAAAAATGAAATTATGACGAAAAGATAGATGTAGACCATTGAATGACCCATGTCCTTTGTACATACATGTGAAACTATATTTTACTAAGTTTATATATAAAAAATAAATAAATAAAGTTTACTAAATCAGAGAAATGAATTAGCTATTTTTGCCGTAAGTGCCAAAAATTTTAATTAAATAATATTTAAATATAAAATTTTAAAAATCGTAATCGACATATACTTGATATGGAAAAATAATTTTACTTACAGTAAGTAATTCTAATACATTTACTTCTATTAAATGAAATATAGTCTATAAAAACTAACAATGAAAATATTTTAAAGTTGTAATTAAAATTGTAGTTAATTAAAATGAATTCTAACCTAAACTTCTTTTAAATTGTAATTAAATAAATAAATAAAGTTTACTAAATCAGAGAAATGAATTAGCTATTTTTGCCGTAAGTGCAAAAATTTTTTTACTTAAATAATATTTAAATATAAATTTTTTAAAAAATCGTAATATACTTGATGTGATAATAATTCTACAAACTGTAAGGGATTCTCATTACATCTAAATGTTCTTAAAAGAAATATAGTATATTAAAAATTAAAAGTAAAAATATTTCAAATCGTAGTTAAATAAAAAGTATTCTAACCTAAGCACCCCCACCCAATCTTTAAATCTACGAAGGAAAAAAATGCCGGAAGAATTTTTGCCGTTAACAATAAAATTTTAAAAAATCCAAACGACACGTTTTTAACGGATGTTAGATTTCACTGAAAGATACATCCCTACCCACTACCAAAACGTAGCAATAACTGATACATTAAAATCTAGACATAATGAACACTCAGACACCCCTCGTCTAGTAAACTGGATTCATCTGTAACCTTGGAAACATGAATTATGATTTTAGCTGTGTCTTTAAAACCCAGTAATTTTTAAAAGTTACTCCAAAATTCGCTTGAGGATGAAATTGCAAAAGGAAATTCGGGGCTTTTAGCTTCCATTTTTGAAACATGGTTAGAACTGTGTAGCGGAAAAAACCAGATTTTAAATCAATTACTTTATATATATATATATATATATATATATATATATATATATATATATATATATATTTTAGGTAGTTCTTTCTTTTCACTTATCTATCTATCTAGCTAGTTCAGGTTATCTTCCCGGTCTTTTTTTTTTCTATCTATCTATCTATCTATCTATCTATCTATCTATCTATCTATCTATCTATCCAGAAGATTCCCGGGTTACGTCGGACCCGATGTACGGCGTTTCGTGGTTACGGCGCCATCTCTATAATATAAGTCGTCAGGCGGCGCTATATGAGGAAGAAAGCATTGTTTCTTAACCGGCCGGCCATATTGGATTGTGCTACATTCGCTATCTCTCGTTTGTGTTAATTTGGGGAATTTTTTTAACCTTCATTATGCCTTCCAAGCGTAAGGCAGACACGTGGGTACTTATGTAGGTGAGTTCCGACCTACGTCAAAAATCAGGTTACATCGTGTCGTATGAACGGATCTCTGGCGTAAGTCGCGGACTCATTGTACCTATATATTTCTGCTTTTCTTTCTTTGTCTAGCTATTTATCTATCCTACTCTCTTCATATCTAGTTGGCTATAGAACTAGCTACTATGTTATTCTGTTCATATCTATATACCTACCTTCAGACCTTTCATATTTATCCAACAATCTGTACCCATTCTCATTTTTTTTAATCACTTCACGCTAAACAAGGCGATAATGCCACTAAGACGGAAAGGGTTACTGGGAGTGAAAGAAAACGAAAATACATGAGAAGGTGCCTGAAACCCAATCTCAAACAGGAATTAAGGGATAAACTTCTACACCTGTTCATAAGAAGGGAGAGGAGTGTTAACCTCATACATACATACATATTTCGGAATGAAAGATGAAGGAACAAATTTACATTCAATTAAAAATCTGTCAATATTTAGCATTTAATTCATAAGATTTACCTGTCACAGAACGATGGTTTACAAACTGACGCTGACAACACCACTTGTAATGAGTTCAGTCCTTACTAGCAGCCTCTTAACAATGGCCATGTTTCAAACTAAACTGATGACATATCGTTGGAGCTGATTCCTTTTGACTAGCAATCTAGGGAAATCGTTACTGACTAGCTGCGCCATTAACATGGCCCAGTGCCAGACTCTTCTTGAAACAGCTATCCAGTCTACATTTTTTTTAATCAATTCACGCCGCGCAAGGCGACAATGTCACTAAGACGCAAGGGACTACTGGGAGCGAAAGAGAATGAAAAGGCTCTAGAAAAAAAAAGAAAAAAAAAAGGAAACCCAAAACTAAACAAGAAATAAGGGATAAACCTCTATCCTTGTTCAAAAATCGACTCGATATGAATAAAACTATCCTGAAAAGAAATGATAGAAAATTAAATCTGAAAAATTCGTTATCAAAACAGAATAGTCACCAACAAACAAATTTCAAAATGGCGTTTATTTTTTTTTTTTAATTTGAATGAAGAAAATGTACGACACTTCCTCGAATGAATGTGATCACTTTTGACATCGAAAATAACAATTCAGTATAATCTATTCAGTGTATGGCTGCTTCTCTGTGTGTCTTTTAAGATAACATCAGTTATCTTCCTTGTTCGCATCTTTTAAGTTCACGCGCGCGTGTGTGTGTGTGCGTGTGCGTGCGCGCGCGCGTGTGGTCTTCTGTTTACCTCCCTCGTCAAATAATGCCCATATTATTCCAGGTCCTTCCGTCTTTTCCTCGAAACCCACCGATTATATTAGACAGATTTTTTTAGTATCCTTTGTATAGATTTTTCCCCATCTCTCACAAGAACTGAATTGAACGAAAGGAATTCAGTGTACAGAGACGGAAATTCAAAGTGCACATTGGTAGCGGGAGTTCCCAACCTAACCTTGTCTCGATCCCTGTCTCCTTGACGTGCCTTTACATTATCTATTTTGCCATTTCTTTGTGGCCAGTGACTCGGGGCGTAAATAGAAACACGATTGTATTTAGCGTAGAAAATAACGTTAGATCTTTTCAGTCGTTTAGTTACTGCGACATCTGAAATTACATATTTCCGCGTATGTTACTGCGTGTAAGACGACCTTTAAATTACAAAAATTACCCTTAAAAATTGGGAATCGTCTTATACTACAATTCTAAAAAAAGAAAACCTTAAATTTTGAGTGATATTTATCGGTAGGCTAACCTCGTGCAACTTGTGTCCATGCAAGCTCAACTGAGAAAATGTAAACATCGAGTTATGATTATGTTCACAGCAACATTTATCTTTCAATAATCATCATGGTAATGTTAATTAGAGCACTAATAATGTTTAGGGTAAGATAATATTCATTTCTCATTAAAAATTCATTATCATTTTGGTGTTGAATAATAACACAACTTAGGATTATTTTGTGATTGTCGATAAGTAAATGGCTATTAGTTCGCCAGGCTGTTTGCAAGTGTTTAGATAAAGAATCAGTGTTTGAAAGAGATCACGTGATGAAGGATAAACAAAACAATGGTTTCCCTTTTAGGGGATATGTGTAGGAAAAACATTATATAGAATCGGTTTTGTTCCGTTTATTTTGAATTTCTAATGATACAGTAAGTAACGACATTTCCAATAATATGAACTTTATATAATAAATAAAAGCAGTCGTCTTAAACTACAGATATAGGATAAATTCATGAAACCTTGATATATTTTTTTACCTCGTCTTATCTAAAGGTCGCCTTATACGCGGAAATATACTATACTTCAAATATTTATGGGGATTTTTTTTTTATTTTGGTGAAATTTTTAAAATAGAGTTACTGAGAATTTATTTAAAGCCTGAAAACCACTGTCTTTTGAATTGTATCGAGCGGCCCATATATTCTAATACATTTTATTTAGTTAGCAATATCAGTGAAAATTTCATGGTTTTGCTATTTTAATTATAAATCCTATTGCAATATTTTATTAAAGTTGTTAAGCTCAATTATTTAATTATACAGTAGGAAAATATCTACGCCTATTTTATAATCGTGAGCTTCTTCAGTCATTAACTTAATAATTATGATTCATCAGAAAATTCATATAGGAAATTCCTGATATCCTGAGAGCGCTTCATTAATTCGTATAATTTTTGACACATTAGAATAATAGATAATATACTAGATAATTATACTAGATAATATTTTTATTTTAATAATAGTCTTTTTATGTGATTACCGGTATATTAAATAACTACAAGTGTCGAAAAGTTTCCAGACAGATCAAGATGAGTACATGGTTTCCATAGCAGCCACGTTTTTATAAAGAATCACTTCCAATAAATAAGTGCAGTGTTTAGTTATTTTTAGCTTATAGGAAGTGGGCTCGACTGGAAAACTTTCATCACCCCCTTGTAGATTCACTCCCAGAATCAAGAAATATGGTTCCAACCGTAAATAATATATAAACACCTTAAACAAAAATCTTTCGCTGGTCTGCAACCAAAATTCCACAAATGCGAAAAGGTTACTAAAACTCACCCAATATATGCGCATATTTTTCACCCCAAGCAAGACAATAAAGCCACTAAGACGTATGTGGTTACTAAGTGCGAGATAATATGAGAAAAAGAAAACGTTATTATGCAGTGAGAACAATAAAAGAACAGGAAGTAAGACAGAAGATAATGATTGACATTGCATTTAAATTTGAGGGGTGGGGGTCAAAGTTCACTGGAAAACAAAAAGCCGGAACCCGGAAATTTGAGAGAAGAAACTGTTAGCATAGAACTTACGGTTACATGTAGGCATTTCAACTGTAAAATGGTTAGACCTTGCTGCCAATCTAGCACCGCGCTTGAATTCATAAAGTCTAGGTAGAAAAGGGAAAAGCTCATATATATATATATATATATATATATATATATATATATATATATATATATATATATATAGCTTCCATTTTGGAAACATGGTTAGAACTGTAGCGGAAAAAAACATATATTAAATCAATTAATTTATAATATATATATATATACCCGCGTGAATGTGTTACAGCCCAAATAAACCAACATATATATGTATATGTATATATATATATATATATATGTGTGTGTGTGTGTGTGTGCATACGTGTGTGTATGTAACTGTCCATATACACTAACATATGTATATGTGTGTGCGAGAGAGAAAGAGAGCGAGAGAAAGAGTGTGTGTGCGTGTGTGTGTGTGCGCGTGCACGTGCGTGTGTAAAAGCTAGCTGCTTACATAATTGGTAATATCATGAAAAGTGTGAAATGAACAGGTTTCTGGTTACATAACTTTTATGACTAGGTGTTTATATTATCAAAGATATCATAGCTGGAATTTATTCAACTAATGTATGAAAATATTCAGTGACATACATACTGTGGCACGGTAAACATTAAAAGCAAATACTAGAAGTAAACAGATGTCAAAATTTCCATCGTACTTTTAACATCTAAACATCAACTGAATATGATATCAACGCCTCATGGAATTTCGATTCATTTAATAATTGTCTCTTGCAAGAAAACTTATCCAACATAATATCAATGGCTTGTGCCTAGAGGCTATTTTTCTGCCGAACTTTCCCTTTCACAACAGAAGAATTTCTAATAGCTCAATGTTGGTGAATGTTGGTCTTCGTTGGGAAATAAATGATGTAATTACATAATTATTATCTTATCCAATCAAAGTAACCCGTGGGGTTTCTTCACCAGGTTGCGAATGACTAAAAATGTCTATAGTAACGATCTTGCTTAAAAATGTGGTTCAAATAAATCATTATAATGTTTTGAGTTTAAACTGTTTTTTAAGCGATTCGGTAATCTGTACACCGAAATTAGAAAGAAAGAACTTTCGTTAGCAAATAATTTACGAGAAAAAAAAAAAACTTATATTTACAATGTAAATGCATTATTAATGATTTTATTCAAGGAACGGACTGTAAATGATTTTAGTACTGAAATGCATTTTACTATCGAACTGCATTGTAAGTACTTTTACCACTGAAATACAGTGTAAATACTATTATTAGTGAAATGGTGTCTAAATATTTTAGTACCAAAATATATATTAGCATATATTGAAAATTAAACAATATATATATATATATATATATATATATATATATATATATATATTATATTGATTGTTGATTTTGCTGTGAATGGGCAATAATCTGTGGAACAAAAGAGTGGAAATAATGGCAATATATAGACTCAGGAACAAGTATTTGATGAAAAATGTA